TATATATATATATATATACATACACACACACACACACACATGATGGATACTAAATACGCTAAAAGATTTTAAGGGGTAATTTGTCACACAAATTTAAGACTAAAACTTCATGTAACGATTTGTTCGAAACGGCTTAATTTCAAAGGTACAAAGCTGTTATTTTTAAAATATCAAAGTTGACAAAATTTCGTTTTTTCCAAAAATGTCAAAAACTGTTCGAGTCATTTTGATGTAACTTGGTATATGTTTAATGAAAATGAAAACTTATGTTTTAGGGGATTATACTTTTTTTTTATTCAATCAGGGATGGGCCAAAAAATAAACAAGACCTCCCCTCTTTTACGAAAAAAAAACTGGTATGTCATTAATTTTTTTAGTTTGAAATTTTTTTATGATAAATGGAATAAATCCGTAGAAAAAAAAGCTATCTTTAACATTTTCAATAGAATAAGTCATTTGCGAGAAAAAAAATTAGAATTCGTAAATAACAAAGTTATTTTATTTGATCAAATACAATAAAATGAAAAGCAAAAAATTAAACTCTTTGGTACACCACTCCTGTTCAGAATGTTCAACATCTTAGAAATCATAGAGGCTCAGTACAAAATTATTCGAAATACGCCTGTGGAATCTTTTGGTAGGTGCGTCAATCGATGCAAAGAAGAGCGAATGTTTGCACTATGACATAAGGCTACATTCGATATTTACTTTAGAATTTAATTTTTTACTTTTCATTTAAGTGCACTTTGATCCACAATGAGATTTATAGCAACGATTGTATATTATGATTGTACATATGTAGTGTCCCATTTTAAAGGATCCACTCAAGTATCTCGGAAGTCATTGGAGATTGTTCTTATTTTTATTTTCATTTTTGCACTAAAAATTTATTTTTACATAAAAATGAAAATAAGAGGTATAACCTCCAATGGTCCAATCTTGATCTTGACAAATGTTATTCAGCTCATCACATGATGCTCGATCTCATACAGTCATGCCTGCTCTGATGTATGCTAGAATTCGTTCATGCTTGGAGCGCTGCATGCTGCATATACATGATTTTTGTATTTATTATATATATATATATATATGGATTATTTATCATAGTTCATTTTCTTGCATGCACCAATCAAAAGAAACAATTGCTAATTTCATAGTTATTTGTCAAATGTCAGACTGTATACATCAAAGGATGCGTTCCGAATTACGCATGAAGCGCATGTACCGTTTTATTCTTTTTTATTATTTGGTGAACAAGAATGGATGATGCACTATGCACTTCATGCGTAACTCGGAAACGCAAAAGCAAGCATAGCAGGACTGCGTTCAGAATAGTCGTCCGCAAGGATGCACCTAGATATCGTTTCATCCTTGTTGTTCGCGAATGTTAAATAAGGATAAAAGAACATCTGGGTGCACCATGCATGCATAATTTCTCATTCAAGAAATCGAGCATCGTGTGATTCCATCTTAATGTTAATGTCGACTACGTATTGTAACTTTCAAGCCTTAACTCGAAAAGTACTTAATGAAACAATAGTTTATTACAGTAGCTGAAAAGCTCTTGAGATAAGCTATAAGAATTAAGAATATGTAAAGAAAAACTGGGGATCTCATTAAAAAAATTCAAAGTGACCTTGCCTTGACCTTGACAACACCACCCAAGATTAAACCAATCGTACCATCTTATGTGTCTCTCTCGAAGTCAAAAAAGTTTTGTCTGAAACATTTTTCAATTTAACGCACTGTTTCTGACATATTTGAGTAGATCTTTAAATCTTGGATAGATACCCTATATAATTTCTGCATGTATCAAATTTGTATTGTAACATTGAGCAACAAGCGTGATAATTGCACTTTATCCGTAGTAATATTTAGCCATCTTTAACAAATTGCCGGATGTCAGTAGGAAAAATGTCAACAGACAAATCAGGCGGCAAGTTGTCGACGTCTGGTCAATTCGTGATCGATTAAGAGCGAGATGTCGGGATGACGACGCAGAATGGTCGCACAATAATGCATGGTTTGGGTGGGATCGGCACCAGCCTTCAACAGTATCTTGACGGCGTTAGCGAATCCACTCTCGGCGGCAACTTGCAACGCCGTCAGACCATCAATGTTGACCTTCTCCAATTGTGCTAAGGGTGAGGTGACCAACAATGATACCGTCTGATGAAATCCTCTTGCTGATGCGAGGTGCAATGGAGTATTCCCGCCGGCGTCCTGCGTGCCAGGATCCTCACCATGCTCAAGTAGCTTCGTCACCATATCGACATGATTTTTTCGCGACGCTATATGCAACGGGGTTTCACCGTATCGCGACGCGATGCCTGTTGGCGTGTGTTGTATCAATAATGTCGCTGTGTTTAACGCACCGCACTCCAAACTCTCGTGCAAAGCGGTCTCTCCGCGATCATTCTTCAACGCAGTATCCGCGCCAGCGGCTAGAAGCGTACCAATCAACGACTCGATATCGGTCCTGTGATTGTTATCTGTAAGATAATATGCCATTAAAATTTTGCGCATTCTTTTCTTCGTTTCTTCGGATCGTGGAACGAGTGAGAATAATCATCTGTTATTCGAAAAAGTCACGCACGTCATTGTTTGTATGTATGGAAAAGAAATTTTTGTTTGGACAAAAAATTGTATAAAAGTACACAGAGCTAAAAAGATTTGATTGTTGAATATAAAAAATGGCATAAACTTAAAAAGTTTTTCATTGACAAAAATATCAAACATCTAACTATCTTCAATTGTAAGTTAAAGGTTTTTTAAAATTAAAAGATTCCCCCTCCTCTCCCCCCTCCAAAGAAATAAATAATAAATTCGTTCGATCTTAATGAAGGGATATTAGTATACAGAGACGATCATTATGATTGTACCAAAGATAGTTGATGATGCTAAAATGTGCAAGGCACTTCGACCTTGATGATCCTTAGCGTTAACGGGTCCTGCTTTCGCCAATAATTCTAGCGTCTTCAGAGCCGCATCGAAATTATGACGAAGGGATTTCAGCGACGTGTGAGCCAATTGACGAGACAGCACGTGCAATGCAGTCGATCCACTGCCGGCCTCTTTGACGCCTGGCGGACAGTTGTATTTCAAGAGGTCCTCTACGAATTTCAACACGTTACCTGGTCCGCCATTCAGAATTACTCTGTGAAGTGCCGTCTCACCCCGCGGTGAACGCACAGCTGGATCGCATCCATTTGCTAGTAGCGCACTGTAATCCGGCAACAAAAAAATATAATTTTTTATCATTAAATTTTTAATATGAATACGAAATACAATACGTACGATGTTACAAAAATAAAAATAGCTATGCTGCTATACATAAGTTATTTTTAACTTTTACATCAATTTATCAAAAAGAATTTTCATAGCTATGCAGAAATTGTTCCATGTTGCGCTTAAACGGAGATAATCTTTTTGTTTAACATTACGAAAATATTTTCTATTAATAATTTATCGATAAATTTTAAATAATAAATATGAATAATTATTCTCAAAAATTTTATATGTTTTCGATATAAATTTCTATATACATAACGAATAACATAATGCCTTAAAGATAATCAATGAATTTACTATTTAAAAAATTAAATATTTTTAATGTTATATTTTTACGTTAACTCGTAGACTGATTGCCAGAAAGCTCCAAGTTGATATAATTTGCAGAAAGGAGAAGGTAAAGCTTACGTAAAGCAATGCGATCTTATATCTAAAATCTAAACGATTGCGTTCTAAAACGATTCTAAAAAATCTACCTCAACACAGGAAGGCAATGATTCGTTGCTGCCATCAATAAGGGTGGATCGCCCGATACGTTCCAATCCGGTTCGTCCAGATTTTGCACGCAACCGTTGGCGATCAACATCGAGACGCGCTTGGCGTTTCCCGATCGTACCGCATCATAAAATGAGTCACTATCCTGTCGGCTGATAATTTCCCTTTCAAATTCATCTTGTTTCTCATCCGCATGTGTGTTCAGGCAAATTTCTACCACATTCTCGCAACAAACTTGCACAGCGTCTTCCATCGCGGAATCTCGGAATTTCTCCTCAGAGTGAACACTACTGTCACGTTGTTCCTGCACTTGGATCTTCAGTATGCTTCGACTTGGAGCTTCATTATGCTGGTCCTTGTCCTGCTCTCTTCTTACACTGCACGTGGATGCGCTTTCCGATGCGATATAATCCGCCAATAAAATCAATTTCTTTTCCATATGCCTCTCATTATCTTCAAAGGACAATTCCCCGTTTTTAGATCTATTCATTTGTGAAATATCATTTACCAAATTTACAGAGACGCTGACGCTTTCTTCGTCCTTATTTTCTTTTTCTTTCTCAAACATTCCCAGATCCCCGTCGAATGATTCACCCGCAGACAGAACGCTGACTTCTACAGAAGAAAAAAGCGTGGATTCTTCGAAAGACGAGTCACCTGTTGCGAGACTTGCTCGAGACGACGACGACGTCTCCTCCATATCAGAGGCAGCATCCGGGTTGAAAAATACTCGCGCAGTATCGTGCGGACTTGTTGCCTTCTGCTTCTCGCGTTCTGTCGTCGTTTCGTACGCGGAAGTCATTGCGCCCGCACACTTAATTGGCCCTGATTATTTGTTTCACGCAATTGGCTCAACTCTCTCAACACGGAACGATACGCGTGTAATTGGTCTGTGTACTGCGTAATACTGTGAAATTTCGTTTTCGCTACTTGGTGACGAATTATGCCAGTAATATTGTACAATAAAACCCGCGCTATAATAAAAAGAAACGCAACGGGAGGTCAATGAAACTTGGTGTATTACACCGAACGATCGAGCAGAACTCGAAGCAAACAAGAATCGCCGGCGTTTTACGATGCTTTACTAAAAACGTGCCTTTACCGGTTGCCTATACCGGCTTCTCCCCTTTTTCTTTCTCTCTCCTCTCTCCTCTTCGTCTTCAGCTCCCTCCACTCCTCCATTCCACTGCCATTCTGTCTGTGTGTCGTGTAGCAGTACGTTAGTCTTCATTCGTTGCCTATGGTTGTCCACCCCACTTCACTAGCCTGCGTGCTTCTTATAATCCTTCTCCTCAGACGAGCCATGGGTGCCGAACCATTGGAATTTAAAGCGATCATGATGATGAACGGTCATGGAATTTATTTGAACTTTTGTAACTATAAAAGTTACATTTTTCAAAATTAGAAAAGTATTATATATATACACACATATATATACACACACACACATACACACACACACACATACATTAATATATATATATGTATATATTAATAAAAATAATATAATTTTTTTATTATATTCTACAATTAATAATCTAATAATAAGCAATTACGATCAAGTAATTACGATGAAAATGCTTACGTAATAAAGTAAAAATCGTTCACTTTGTGTGTGTCAAACTCTTCTCTCTTTCATTTTAATTTTAAACAGTATTCACACAGTATATTTTAAATAATACTATGCATAATAATATTTTCTCTCTTTCCATGAGTGACAAAGTTAACGAAATTCGACAAAACGAATTTTACTCAACCTAGAAATAAAGAAGAGACATAATAATATTTCAAACTACTCTAAAAAATTGAATTATTTCAGTGTTACTTTACTTACAGTTATACAGTTGTTAGTACAATTTCTCTGCACAACTTGAAAATGTCTGCAAATCAGATCACACCATTTGCTACGCCTATTAAGTCGCTGCTTTATTGCCGTTGGGTACTGATAATGCAAAAAAATTTCAAGAGAGAGGAAAACTCGGCGACGTCGCAAGAAAGAGATCAGGATACGCAGATGTTTATATGAACGGGAAGAAGAAAAGGAACTTTTACGCTATATATGTATATATATATATAACGTACATATATATATATATATATATATATATATATTGCACGCGTGCTTGTTCGGTGTGGGAACTTGAGATTTCGGCGAGACGAACATTGATTGAACATATATATGGTATAATCCAATACAAATGCATCGAATGCGTCTAAAAAGCTATCGTTTTATTGAACATCGTTTTACAATAACTTAAATGCGAGCGATGAACATGATGGATTTGAGAAAACCGCGTAGTCGGTAAAATAACAATATATGTTACTGCAACACACACAGTATTTCTTTACTAGATAGAATAATAATCCTTCATTTATACGAAGTTAAGTAGTATTCATGTTACAAAGATATGTGAGCTTATACAATATGCTAAATAATAGATTAATCTGCAATTAGTTGAACTATTGAAAAGATTGTAGTTTTCTAATTAAATCAAAGAAATCCGATAAACGTCAAATTAAATCCATATCCACTGAAACAAAAACTCACAATGTATTACGATGGTGATAAAGTATAAGCGATATTTACTATGTATTTACCATTTATCTGCTTCGCGATCTGGAACCCGATCGAGATTTCGACCTGCTTCGATCTTTGGAAACAGACTTCCGCTTCTTGCGATATTTATCCTTGGCACAAACGCTCCTGCTATGAGATGGGCTGCGTCGTGATGAGCGAGAACGCGAACGATTACTGCGAGATCTTGAGCGGGAACGTGAACGCGATCGCGACCGTGATCGCGATCGTGATCTTGATTTGGATTTTGATCGCGAACGGGACCACCTAAAGTAAAATCCATAATACATAAATGTTAAAACAACAGCCATACATATATTTTGCCTATCCATTACTACAGAACAATAATTAATATAAAACATAATTTTTAAAAGTAAAGATTATTCGATTTTTATGGATTTTTATATAGCTTTTATATATCTCCCTGAAATTATTGTCAGCGATCCTTTATCAATAATAATGAAGAGAATCCTGGTCCTAATAAAGCTTTTAATTTACATATTACTCTAATTACTCTAATCATCTATTAGATAATAGCTTATCATCTTTTTTTTACAAATATTGCAAGTGTAATATTTAGATATATATGATATTGTTCTCTCTCTGAAAGGTATAACAAATAATACAATAGTTATCCACAAATTGATGTATAAACTCATTAACTTTTAAACTTTACATATTCATAATAAAAGTATATTTAATATCTCTGAGCAATTTCTATTTAACAAGACTATTCAACTATTTCCATAAATAAATGCAACTACCTTCACAAGTCATGCAAATTTGCTTATATACAATAACGTAATGTTCATTTATGTTCACTCAGCCATATATAATAATCCTCATAGGATATACATATACTTTTGACTATTCTACTTATATACCATCTTTCCTGGTTTATAGCTGTGTTTATAGCAGACAATTGTGGATTGCATGCGCGATAGCTGCACCGAGAAGGGAGAGCGGATGAGCCCTTTATGCAGATGAAATTACGAGAGGGTCCGAGATGAACGGATGAAGAGTGGCTAGAGACGAGACCGTTGAAAATTTGTCTCTCAGCAATCGTTACAAGTATTACGACGATGACGACAACGACGACAACGACGATGATGACGATGATTAGGACGATGAAGACGACGACGACGACAACGATGACTACGACGAAAACGACGATTAGGCAGAAATCATGGATAGCTGAACGAAGAACACCAGGAGTGCCAGACGTGCATAAACTCTCGATTTAGGGTGATGGTCAGTGGTCAGCGGATCAGTATCGTAGCAGTGCGTAGAACTAGCCACCCCGTGTCCGGTCGGTCACGGCCCATGTTTGCCGCGTTTTCTCGCCCGCAGAGTGTGCAGAGGGAAACCCAAAGTAGATGTGGAGTGCTCTACGCTGTAACTACGACGCGCAGTGTGTGTCACAAACGTGAACCCAAGGCGAATCTCGCGCAACAATGTCGAGTAGCAACACACATTTCACATGCGTGTGCTGTATGCTCAGCCGCAACTCCTATAAATAACGGGCAATATTACGTTGACCGCTTTACAATTAGTTTCTTTATGTTTGTAAAAATATCTTTTCTTTTTCTTTTAATTATTACCAATTATATCTAAGTTATTTATAATTACCGTTATTTAAATAACGGAATATACATCTTTCTAATAAATAAAAAAAAAATTGGCATCACAATAACTGTGATATTGTTGATATTGTGATAGTCTCATTTGATCAAGTAAATTTCACACAACTCAATGGAAATTATATAATGTATATAAATTAAATATTTGTTTCCTAATTATTATATATAAATACCAGACAAAGAACGCCTAATTAAAGGCCTAAATCCAAATATGGCTGATTCACACAAAAATAGAATCTTTGCAATTGTAAATATGAACTCTCATCTTGGTTCATATAAAACAAAGAAATATAAATCTATATTTTTCTGTAACATGCTACAATCCTTTTCCATCTTGTAAGATAATTCTCCATAATATATGCGAGAAGACAGAAACTTGCATACACATAATATAATTCAATATATAGTTTTTTAAACGCAATATATACATATTCATATATAGAGCGTTTCATTTTAATTGCTCCATTAGAATATCTCGAGAAGGAGATGTGGGATTAAAAAAGCTTCAGACAAAAGTTATGTGATTTTGAGGGGGACACAAAATGGTATCATGAGTTTGACCTTGGGTGTCATTGTCAAAGTTAGAGCAAGGTCACTTTGAATTTTTTAAATAAAACCCTCCATTTTTCATTGTATATTTTCCTAGCTTACTTCGAGAGAGAGCTTTTCAAAACATTAAAATAAAATATTTTTTCATCGAGTACTTTTCGAGTTATAAGGCTTGAAAGTTACAGTACCGGCATTAGCATTACCCTAAGGTCCGACCGACTGCTAAAATCTTTTCAGTGTTGTTTAGGATTATGACTTAGATAGACATTTATTAATATCAAGGCCACTGGAGATTGTTTTGCTCTTATTTTCATTTTTGCACTAAAAATTCATAATAATAAAATCATATATAAAATCATATATAAATTCATATATAAAATAAAAAACTGGCAGTACTGTAACTTTCAAGTCTTATTACTTGAAAAGTATTTAAAAAGTACTAAAAAATATTTTATTTTAATGTTTTGAAAAGCTCTTGAGGTAAACTACGAGAATATGCTATGAAAAATGGAGGGTTTCATTGCAAAAATTCAAAGTGACCTTGATCTCTGATCTTGATAATAACACCTAAGGTCAAACTCATAATATCATCTTCAAAATTACATAACTTTTAATATTAGCAGATATTCTAGTGGAGCGATTAAAATGAAACAGTATATATATATATATATATATATATGTATATATATATACACATGTTCAAGTTTTAAACAGTTTTTACATATCAAAATAATTACTGAGCTCATTAAAAAAAAGAAAATTTTTCAAAACTTACCTTCTTCTACGAGAACTTCTATGACGATGACAATCTCTTGCATAATGACCCTTTTCACCACATTCATAACATTTATCTTCTGGATGAAAAGGTCTCCCAATGCCTCTTCTAGAAAAGCCTCTGTCTCTTAATTTCTTTCCATTTGACAATTCCACGCGAACACGTCTTCCACATAGAATACGACCATCCAGTCCTCTTACAGCATCCTCTGCATCTCTAGGATCTTCAAATTCGACAAAAGCAAATCCAGGAGGATTTCTGGCAACCCAGACATTACGCAACGGTCCATAGTAGGAAAATGCATCCTCCAATTGTTGTTTACTAGCACTACTCCCTAAATCTCCTACATAAACCTTGCCATCCGAAGGATAACGCGAAATCTAATAAACATATATAAAAAATACATACATATGAAGTAAGCAATTCTTTCTCTTACAAAAATATCAATATATAAATAAGATAAAATAAATTCATCAAATATTTTCTCCTATCTCTATGATTCTAAAAAAGTTTAATTAAAAAAAAATTTCATATTTCTTTAAATTAACTTTCCAAAATAACATAATTTAAACAATTAACAATCTCATTCATAATAAATTGATGTTTTATTAAATAAATATTAAATAAAAAAAAAGATGTTTTATTACTTTCGAAAAATATTATACAATGACTGAGCAACGGATTGATTTTTATACCTTGCTCATGTTGTTAGCCTTGTAGACTTTTCGTGGATGAAGACGTTTACAAAGATCTATGGCACATTTTCTAGAAAATACACGATTGACAGCGGTAGCTTCCTATGCGTTATCGATTCTCCAGAGAAACAAATTGTAAATTGATTAGAAACCCCTTCGTGAGACCAATTTTTCAATAGCGCTTCCACCTCAACGATATTTACGATAATGTCCACCAATGTCCACCAATGCCAAGTGTATGCTACAAGCCATTAATTTATTTGACCAATCACTAACAAGAGATTATATACAGTTTGTATCACAATGCACATTACGTATACTGTTGTGCATATACTGTACATTGAGAGCAGGGTTGCCAAGTAATTTTGACAGTGTTCTCTAATGGCTCCTGCACACAGCCATAAAACAGAACACGGCA